CTGCCCACTGTCCACCCAGAGGGAGGCCGCGCCGGACGAGGGGCGTCCCCTGGGGGCCACTGCCCACTGTCCACCCAGAGGGAGGCCGCGCCGGACGAGGGGCGTCCCCTGGGGGCCGCTGCCCACTGTCCACCCAGAGGGAGGCCGCGCCGGACGAGGGGCGTCCCCTGGGGGCCGCTGCCCACTGCCCACCCAGAGGGAGGCCGCGCTGGACGAGGGGTGTCGGGTCTGGGAGGGGGCTGCGACCCGCTGGCCGAGGCTGCCCCCCGGAGGACCCAGCACCCACCTGGACAGCATCCTGTAAGCATCCTGCTTGTCTACCGGCTTCTCCAGGATCAGCCCGTCCACTGTCTGCGGGACAACGGGGCACAGAGGGTGGTCTCGGGGCGTGGGGGGCGGCCGCAGGACCCACCGCTTGTGCCGTGGCCAAGAATGCAGGTGACGGCCATGTAACATTGGCCCGGTCACTGTGCAGCCAACAGCCCCGGCCGTCCCAGACGGCCTCGGAAAAGCCTGGGTGGGTCCACCTGCAGCGAGCCCGCTGCCCGTCCCCACGGACCGGCCGGCTCTGGACATTCCCTCTCGAGGGCCCGACACCGTGTGCGCTTCGCCCCCTGCCCGTCAGGTGTCGAGGTCATTCACGTGGTCGTGACTGGCGGCTCTGCCTTGTTCCTGGCCGAGTAATATTCCACCGCTGCGTGGATGTACCACAATCTGCGTGTCCCTCAGCTTCCCACGGCCACTCGGGCTATTTTCGATCTCCCTGGTCTGAAACTGTCCGTGGTCTGGGCTGGTGTTTGCAAGGCGTCTCCGAACGTCGTCTTCAAGTTTTGGGGGGTGCACCACCCCGAAAAACCCCCCAATCCGGGCTCACCGCCCCGAAGCGTCTCCGCACTCCAGGGGCTGATGTCCGGGGCAGGTGGCGCCTCCGGACTCCCTCCCGGTGTGGACGGTGGTCGCCCTGCGTCCCCGCAGATGGACACGTCCGTCCTCACCTGCGCTTCGTACAGGGACCCCACCCTGGGTTGGGGACCACCCCAGGCCCTCACTGTCACTCCGTCATCCGTTTGTAGCCCCAACAGCCAGCACAACCCCATCCTGGGATGCCGGGGAATTTGGGGGCCGCAGCTGAGCCCCTGCGAGTGGACACGCCATTCACCCGCTAACTACATTTAACCGGGGGCCGACCGGCTGGACTTGATGTCCACATCGGGGCAGGCGGGGGGCCCCCAGCAGGGCAGGGGACACAAGTGGGCTCCCCAACGTGGCTTGTCTGAGCCCCCCAGCCCCCCGCCCATGGTGCGACCTCAGACAAGGTGCCTGGGGTGAGCATGCCTGGTCCACACCTGCTCGGGAGACAGCAGGACCCCAGAGCCCAGCTCCGGCCACTCCGAATGCCTCACCGGCCCGAGGACACGGCGAGGGCCCGGACACTCACCACGATGGTGTCGGCGCCGATGACCACATCAGGGGTGCGGAGGTCTTTCTGCAAGACACCCAGACGCTCTGTGGGCATGAGGGCCCCGGACACGCACTTCTGTGTCCAGAGGGGGGCGAAGGACCAGAGGGACGGACCCCGAGACGCCCAGAGGGCCGCGGGGCTGGCGCTGACGTCCTCGCAGACCCGCCTGCCCCCCGCCTCTGTCCTGGACACGGCCGGAGAAGCGGAGCCCTGGGGGTCCAGGTCCACTCGGACGGCTCTTCCCTGTTCCTGGCCGAGTAATATTCCACGGGCGCGTGGCTGCACCCCACTGTGCGTGCCCACGCGTGTCGGGCCGCAGCAGAGGCGACAGACGCCCACCGTGACGTGGCCTGAGGTCCGTGACCCGTCAGGCTCCGTGGCGGGAAAGCGCAGTGAGCTCTGCGTCCGTGGGTGGATTATGATACCCAGCTGTGGTGTCACGCGCCGTGGCAGGACATGGGCTGCGTTGGCTGCGTGTCACCAACCGCGGTGGCGACGCTCACTGTCAGGGTGCCTCAGCCAGCCACAGGACGTGGTGGCTGCGTGAATGCTCCACGGCCAGTGCCGGCGGTCAAGGGTGGGGGCGCAGGACGCAGACACCGCGGCCACACACGCACCACGGTCCGGAGCCTCCGTGCAGCCCCGGGACGCGCCTGTCGCCCGTGGTCATCGCCTGTGGCTCCGTGACACGTTGCCATAGGGCAGCCACTTAATTGTCCCTCACAGGTGGTCATGGCGGGGCCTCCCGGGGGGCCTGGGGTCCGTGTCCGGCTCTCCCCGCCGCTGTGGCCCCGAGTCCACCCCTGGCCAGCGAGTGACCCCAGGCTGCAGCAGGCCCCTCCTGGCCCCGCTGCCCTCTCCGCAGTGGGTGTCAGGGGACCCGCCTGTCCTGCTCCCCGCTCTGCCTCTGGGGAGCCCTCTCACCCCACACCTCTGGCCTGTACCCCAGTTCTGCACAAGCATAAAGTAAACAAATCGTAAAAGACGCGAAAATAAATCGTAAAAGACGCAAAAATAAATCGTAAAAGACGCGAAAATAAATCGTAAAAGACGCGAGGGGCTGGACCTTAAGGAAAGGACAGTCATGGTCATTCCCACAGGCCGTTGCCCGGTACCGGGGACCCGACTTCTCTGCCCCAAACGACAGTGACGTGACCCGTCATAGCTGGGGTGCGCGTCAGAGGCGGGGTGCGCGGGTCACGCGCCTCCGACGCCGGCCGGCGGCTCTAACTGCGGGTCTGTGTCATGATGGCGGCGGAAGAGGCCAGCGGTGACTTCTCCACCGCAAGTGGGGACCGTCGGGCGCATCGCGGCGGTGTGTGACTGTTGCGTCACCCCGAATGTGACGCGGCTCCCGTCAGGTCACCCCGTCATGCTCCGACGGCACGGACGGGCGCGCGCGAGTCGCCCGCGGAGTAACACGCGCA